AAACAAAATACATCTTTTTTTAATTAAATATCTAAAGTATCCAATTGTTCCATTCTATTGTTAGCTTTGTAAGAGCATGTCTTCCCTAAAATAAAATGGACAGTTTCATAAGATTTTATTTAATGAATGACAGTGGGGAAAAGATGAGTATTCTTTTAATGCTATTTCATATTATCTCGGTTGACAACTGATACCCATAGAAAATAAGCTTTAGTATTTTAATTGCCACATCATGGCAGCAACCTTAGACTATGGCCAGAAGCTAACTCAGAGTAACATTTTGTACTACCTGAGATCTTGGACATCTGACTGAGGATGAAACAACCTGTTTGCTATCCATACCAAGGTACTAACAAATAGTGCTAGCATTCTACATGGGCTATAATTCTCATTCTTCTTTTCTCTCACCACCACCACCACTACCCATCATTCTGCTCTTTGTTATGGTTTGAATATGAATTTTCCTGCACAGGTTCAAATTTAAATGTCTGTCTCCCAGCTGGTGGCACTATACTGGGAAGTGGTAGAAAATTTCGAAGATGGGGTGTGGCTTGAGGAAAGGGGTCACTGAGGACAGATCATTAGGAACACCTTACTCCTTCCTGCCTTTCTGCTTCCTGTCTTCTGCCACTTGTTCCTGTTGCCTTGATATTCTATCCAAGCACATGGAGCCACAGTACCATGAACTGAGCCCTCTGAAATGGTGCACAAAGAGATATTTCTTCCCTTTAAGTTGCTAGGATTGGGTATTTGATAAACAATGCAAACTCTCTCATCCACAGACAACCAACCAAGGGCAGTGAGGCCGGAAAAGTGGCTCAGTGGTTAAGGCCATGCTGTCTGTACTTCTAGAGGACCCAGGGTCAATTCTCAACACCCACATGGTTCATAACCATCTGTAACTTCAGTCCCAAGGGATTCAACACCCTCTTCTGGTCTCTGAGAGCATTGGACATGCACATGGTACATAGATATTCATGAAGGCAAAATACCATACACATATATAAGTATTTTAAAAATAAGTAGAAACATCCTCAGCTAAGTGAAGGTGAGAGACCAATGGACCAGTACCTGGTGGACCACATGGGGGTGGAACGGAACTGCTCGCTGTAACAGTTCAATCATTCCCTGCCTTGTCTTGCACTATATGCCTGTCTCTTGCCTCAGTGCAAAACCAGAAACTAGAGGGAGTCCAAGTAAAGACACACAAGGGATGATCAGGTACATACACTCTATTCTAGCTTTTTCAAAATAAAGCCACCATTTTAAGAAAAAATAGAAAGGTTTTTTTTTATCATATTTATAAATGAATGGCTGATCCTCCCAACAGAAAGCTTTTCTACATCTAAACAAAAACCTTTTAGTTCCTTCCTATCAACAGTATGCTACCAGACTTTACTGTTATTCTTCTGTGCGGCTACTAAAATTGTAGAGATGTTAAAATCTAGAATGCAGCAGAGATGCAAATTCTGAGACTTATACAGCCATTCGGCTTGAGCTCAGAGCCATCCCATGGGCACCAGCCAGCAGCCTACCAAGTGAAGAACAGGGTTTGTATGCCTTGTGAGTTTTTAATTCCTCCCACAGACCCAGTGACATACTAGAGTTGGTTATAAATGCAGGAAGTTTGGATCTGGAACAAGCCTGTAAAATTGGGGAATTTGAACAGCTGGTGTGCAACAGTGTTTTGATACATTTTTTTAAATGGTCTTAGAAATTCTAAAATGAGCAGAACTCCTTTCTGACCTCAGGCAACATACTGGCAAACAGATGGATGAAAGGCAACTTCTAATTTTTATGTTTGAGGAAATATTAGTCTAATAAACAACTTGAGCATTTCTCAGGCTCAATTTCTAGCACTCTCTCTTCCCTCGGTCATTCCCTCCAGCCAGACAATATGATCAGTCATTTCTATTCAACAATATATTATGATATATTACCTAAGCACTCTACATTCCCCAGAAGAATGAAACCATTTCAGGTGTTACACTGATGGAAGGATTTAGGGACCTCTTGCTAACCCTAATGTGCGTGAAAGGCTCACCCTCAGAAGGTGGCTACTTCAGGTACTCACCAATCTACTCTCATCCTGTTTAGCTTTACAGAGATTTACAACATAAAAAGAAGTCTCACCGAAATCTGGCCCCAAGACCCGCTCCTGCTGAGAATAAAGGTTCCTTTCTACAGAACTCCATTCTTCTTGGATGAGGGTGGCAATGGTGGCCCAGCCATTTTTCTAAAGCTACAAGTATAAAATGGCTGATAACAGTAATAACGGAGGTGACAGCAATTCCCGCTAACATTTATCGTCACTAGTTGGAAATACCTCATTGTGTTTGGGTGAAACTATCAAGGTAGAGTCAACATACCAAAGTGAATGGAGTCAGACAGAAATGGAGTCAGATTTCTGCTGTGTCACTAAAGACCTCAATGACCTTGGAAAAGTCATTCGGCCTCTTTGTATGTCATTGTCTTCTGATAAAAGGGAATATTCTTGTCCTGTCTGCCTTTTTCCAAAAGACAGTACATGCTCCCAGAGAAATAACAAGACAATATGAAAACTCATTACAAAATAAAATGTTCTCTCCACACAGGGTGCTCTACTTGGGAGCTTTCGAGGTTTATTCTGTAGTCGTGAGACCAGTATGTCTAGGAATCACTCACTAGCTATGCAGTTCCCTTGACTACTAAATGTTCATGTCCCATGTGCATCCACACATGACGCATACATATTATCAGTAGCAATCATCTTGCAAGCAGGAATCTCTCAATAGCCTGGGAAAGTTGGATCCCTCAGGCTATCGTTGAATAATTCTGGAGATAGGCAGAAAGGAGTGAAATAATAAAGGTCCCTTGAGGTGATATTGTATTTCTCTAGGAAATTTATTTCATTTTCATAAATACCGTACAATCAACTGACTTTTCCAAACGTGATTCTTCTTTGATTAGACTAGATGGCACTGTGGTATCACCCTTTTAATGGCCAAGAAAAGTGTATTTCATTACAAACAATTTTGCTTCAACTGGGAATGATCCAAGAGGTTTCAATGAGTCCTGGTTATTGTATTGATTACATCTGAAGTTACCTGCCAAAGGACAATGACTACTAAGTAGATAATTCAGATGACACTAATAGTACATTTACAGACATCACACCCCAACCTACATGGTCAAAGGAACTGGTATAGGCACACATGTCATATACAGTGCTAGACATAGCTATGGCTTCCATGACAATTAAGACTTCTCTTTTAATCCCCACCACCACTACCATGCCCACTGTTTTAGGTGTGGAAGTCTACTTTTTCCCTAAACAGTGTTTTTGATCACTATTCTTCAGTACACCTACAAGCTAGCTAGCATAAGAGACCATTTATAGTACTACCAGATCTGAGTGGGGACTTTCTTAAACACCCCAGTGCTGTTGTGACAATGACTTACACAATTCTTGCCATGAACTGAGACTCAGCCTTCCTGTGACCAAGGATCTCTTGTGATAGGAAAACGAATCTGTTAGTGTAGAAAGGAAATGAAAGTTCAAAGGATTCAGCTAGGACTCTGGCCTTTGAGAAAGGCCACTGTAAACTGGTGTGACCAGAAAACCAGGGGTTCCCTTTGCTAGAGCTAGATAGAAGAAATCATACCCACAGTTCATCCTTTACAGCTACCTGTAAAATATCACTTTAGTCAGGAAAGGGAGTGAGCATAGGCTGTGCAAAGCAGGAGGGGTCCACATGAACAAAAGCAGCAGCAGCCGCAACAGCAGAACCCTTGAGAGCCGAAGAAGTCACAAAAATGGACAGAGCAAGAAACTATGACGATTGCCCACCAGAAGACCCCAATTTCACTCCTTGCAACTAAAGTCATTCATAGACTCCTGCCCCAGCCCAGATTTGTTTTCAAGAGCTCTGCAAAACAATAGCTCTGGCTGGATTGATTTCACACCAAAGCAGCTCCTTTTGTCCACTTCACAGCATCCCATGACCTCCAAGAACTGGCCAGAGCAGCAAAAGGGAAGAAAATGCCTTGCTGGCTACAGATTATCCACAAACCAGTCTTTTCTAAGTCATTCATTCTCTGTTGCCAGAACCTGAGCCAGCCATGGGTGCCGAAGCTCTAGGATTTCTGAGCCTCAGAAGAAGCTCCTAGCACTCCTGTGGCTCCTGAGCCCTAGGTAGGGTCCAGAGCAACTTTCCAGCTAGTCACCGAGCAAGCAGGGTGCTCCCTTATATTCTAAAAGCATGATGGACACTTCAAGTGTGGGCAGTAGTGAGAGGCACAAGATGAGAACCAGGAGCTCTCCCTGAGTGTCCCCAGACAGTGGCAGAATGACATCTGTTCTCCAGAGAAAAGTGGGGCCTGGGGGTGGGGAGGTAATAGAAGTCAGGGAAAGAAGAAAGAGAAAGGCGAGGACAACAGAGAAAAGAAAAGTGGAAAGGGGAACGAAAGATAGAAAGAGAAAGACCTGGAAAAGGAATGAAGGAGTATCCAACAGCAGATGATGGGCAGATAATTTTCCACTAGAGAAAGCCAGAAATGAAAAAGGGGGGAGAATGAAGGAGTGGGAAATAGGGAAGGAAAACAAGCCCAAGTCTTTGGGACCAGGTGCATAGAGAAGGAGAAGATAAGGAGGATGGACCCAGAGAATCTGCATGCAAAGCACAATTCTTTAGGACTTTCTAGTGCTCGGTGTAGTGTCCAGTCCTGGCTGCTGCTGGGGGACTTTCCGGGCAGCCAGGCCGCTTTCCCCACACTCAACCAGCAAGCAGGGTAACCTTCTGATGGGCAGACCAGCTGTCCTGGGCTGGAGCCCAGATGCTTCCTGACAAAGCTACTAAGATAGGCTCTCGGGTAGCTGGTGTCTACCCAGCAGGGACTCAACCCTCAAGCAGCCAAGGTGTACACAGGGTCCACAGCAACTGCAGATACAGCCTTTCCCACCCCCTGGCTCACCGAGGCGCAGGTCAGTGACCGCGCTTAAGGGACTCACTGAGACTCACCTGGAAGGTCTCAGCCTGGCGTCGCGCTTGCCATCCACCACTGCGGGCACGCAGCTGGTGAGCTCGGTCCAGTCGGCGTGCAGCCCGCAGCTCCAGCCAGTGGAGAACCTGGAGAAGAGCCAGGTCTCCCTCTTACCCGGCCGGTGGCAAGTGCATTTCTTCTGCCCCACGCGGCACTCACATGGCTGCTCCAGCTGGATGTTGCGCACCAGGTGACGGCCAAAAGTGGTGCCCCCAGTCTTCTGGATGTGCAGGAACACGATCAGGTCATCGCCGTTGATGTCGAAGTCTACCTTGCGCAGGAGATCGCTGCGGCTGAAATTGTAGCGGGGTACAAACCTGGCGGAACTCTCATCCTCAGAGCGGTACGGATCCGGCACCGGGGAGCTGAACGCCTGCAGACGGAGGAGCTGGCATTCTGTGCCGGGGCACACATATTGGAGGACGATCACGGCAAATAGGAAGAGCATCACCAAAGCCAGCAGCAGCTTGTTAGATTTCTCATCCATGTTCCCGACGCTGGGGGAAACCCAAGCTCGTTACGTCAATCCCGCAGCTCGGCCCGTGCTCGCCTCACTCCCGCACCGCCCCCTCCCCGTGGCGCCACCGTTGCGCCCCTTTCCCCTCCCGTCCGTACCGAGTACTCCACCACGGCGGCGGCGGCGCCCTTCCCCGCTTCCTTCCTTCCCGGCAGGCTCAGCGCTGTGGCTTCTGCCGCACACCCCCCCTCACCCCGACTCCATCCCGCTGGCCGTTGGCCCCCTCCCCAGCGGAAAAACCCCGATCCACTCCGCGGTGTCTCGTTCCCCGCAGGATCCCTCCGGTCCTGGTCTCTCTACTCCCAAACTCACGCCACCTCTCTCCAGTACTGGGTGCTTCCCGCTCTCCACTCTCCAGCTCCCATCCCCATCCCGTTGGCCCGCGGGACTCTCGGGGGCCCCGGACCCCAGTTTCATTCGTGTGCGCGAGCTGCTGACCCTAAACCCGGGCTCCCTTGGTGCGTGTCCCGTTGCCCACCAGGTGGCCTCTAGAAGTGAGCTGGGGCTTCGGGGTTCCCCTGGGGAAGAAGGAAGGAGCCCGCGGGCTGCCTGCGACTTTGCAAGCAGAGGCGGCGCAGCCCTTTCCCGCGGAACAGCGGAGAAAGAGCCGCACCGCGGTCAGTTGCGCGCTCAACCCGTCTCGCGTCCCCCAGCCCGGCCACCACCGGCACCCTAGAACTTTGAGCCTTGCCCTCCTCTCTCAGCCGCCTTCCCTTCTCCCGCCGCCCGGGCTCACCCGGGACCCGGAGCGAAAGCCCCACTTTCACCCACCACGTACCTGGCCAAGGGACCGAAAATCTTGGAGAAGATCGCACTGAGCACGTGCTTGAGCGAGTGGCCCACTGCTGCCAGGCCCCGAGTGAGCAGGGCCCGGCAGAGGGAGCCCAGGTCCCAGCGTCGCCTGAGGTCGTGCATCCGCCTGCGGCGGCCTCGAGGCAGCAGCGGGAAGAGCGGGGCGCGCAAGGCTCCCGCCAAGGAAGAAAATGCCTTTGGGGGCTCGTCCTGGAGCGGCGGCGAGTTGAATCCGAGAGACACACCCCTAGGAGGGCCGGCGCGGACTGAGGCGGCGACAGACCCGGGTCGGCTTGCTGCCAATTCGGCCTCTACTCTGGAATGCCGGCGGGGACAGGTGGTGCGGGCGGGCGCTCCTTGCTCCGGTTGCAGTGGCGGCCCGAGCGCCCGGGCTGCAAACGCAGGCAGTGCCATTCCCCCCTTCAGGCAACTCAGGGTACTAAGGATCAGGAGCGAGCTTGAATTTATATAATAATGCCTCGCGCCCAAGAGCCCCAGCCACTTCACAGGCAAAAGACCTGGGTTTTCTCCTGTGTTGGAGAACGGAGGTCACTCCAGAGAGCGCATCACTCCACTTTGGCTCATAATTTCAGCATCTCTTAAAATAGCAAAGGCGCAAATTGGACCTTTTCCCTCTCTCTTTGCCAATTTCCATTCTGGAACGGAAGAGGGGGGTATTTTCTGAAAAGGTAAGTCAGCATGGCAATAAAGCATGACTAAAAAACCTTACATGGGAGATTTTTGAGCATTTTCAAAGCACTCTCACTCTAATTTCTCTCCCCTTGTGAATCTCGTGCACCAAGCCCACCGCCCTCAGAAAGATTTCACTCACTGCCATTTATTGAATGATTGGATGTCTAACTACACACCACATCAGAGTCAGACCATCTTGCTCAAGGTGTCGTGGCATATGAAGAAACTGAAGCCCAGAGAGAACTAGATATTCACCCAAGGTCACACAGCATAGAACCAGGATTTATTCTCAGAAACCCAAGCAAGATCCAGCCTTTTTGTTTTCCTTAATTAGAACACGTCTCTAAATAAACATGTATGGGTTTATTATCAAGCCCAGTTTTCCAAAGCCTCGTTTCATCTGGGGAAGCAGGGATGCAGGGATTTAAGAATGAATATTCCTTCAGAACACGGCCCCCTGGCAAGTTGGGACACAGACATTTCCTAGCTAATGGATGGGGGAATGTGCAGTGCATGAAGACACTGGAGTTTCCATTATGGAATGTGCAATCCCGCCCCAACTGATGCAAAAGATGTGTGGGTTAGCAGCAACGTTTCGAAGTAGTAGCATTGGTGGTTGGGGCCACTGGAAGAGGATGCTGTAAGCTGAGTGCTAGTGTGGGGATGTTTCTCTCCAGAACATTATCTCTCTTGCAAGGTGGAGCAGCATGCAAAGCCTGATTCAGGAGTCCTTAGGATCATTTCACTTGCTTACAGAAACTGTGGCATAATAGCTTGCCCTTCCAGAGGCTCAATTTCCCATTCCTTCACATAAGACTAATAATTAATGCCTCTATTTTAACCAACTAGGCTAGTGTGAGGATAAAATGCAGAAACCTTTAGGCAACTGAAAATACTAGATGTTGTTTACCTGCATTGCTTGCCTAGGTGTACCAAATGAGTCTGAAGCTAGTTGAAGAAAGGTCTTTGTCAGGCCATTTTATAACTGTCTCCTTGCCCTTCTACTCAGAATCCTCAGTCCTGGCTGTACCTACCCATGCCCCAGGGAACCTACCGGGACATTAAAGGATTCTTTGTTTAGCTGCTGCAGGTGTCAATAATAGTATATCTCTTGGAAATACTCCATTCATGACATTCCTGCATCTCTGGCCCTGATCTCTAGGAGCAAAGTTGTACAAAGGGACTGGATGCTGCAATACACAAGGTAGATTTCAGCTCCCCACAAAGCTCCCCTGGATCTGCTAGTCTGTGGAATAGGCCCTACTCCCCACTAAGGGCAGGTAAGGATGTAAGCCCTGAAGCTACGGGAATTATCATTTCCATGGCCACCCACACAGTGGCCTCTTTGGCTGACTCAGTAGGTAGCTATCCTAAAGACACCATATAAAAGGTCTGGCCTGTCATTTTATCACCACTATAATGGCATTCAGTAGATCCTTAAGAAAAATACTTCTGAAACTGGTGCTTCACACACATTCAAGCCCTCAGCTACTAATTATGGAATTTCTATTTAAGAAGGATTAATGGGATTGGAATATGGGAAAGAAAATTACCTTGGGTTGAGGGTAGAGGCAGCACCAGGGACAACCAGGATTTTCCCAAATGGTAGAAAGGAAACCTGTGCAGAAATGTAAACACACACACACACACACACACAAAAAAAAAAAAAAAAAAAAAAAAAAAAAAAAAAAAAAAAAACAGGCAAGCAGGGAAAGGGGCTAGTCAGGTTTATCTCCGCAGAGCCAAAGGAAGAAAACTGCAGTTACTGAGATACAGTTCTCTGCTAACACATTAATGTGAGTATATACAACAGCTCAGTGGAGTATATTTCCATTTAGAAGCCTTTTCTTGAACCATGCCTCTTCATGTTTGTGAGACCAAAAAAAGAAAGAAAGAAAAGAAAAGAAAAAAGAAAAGAATCATGGGGGCCAGCCAGATGGTTCAGCACTTGCTGCCAAACCTGACTATCTGAGTTCAATCCCTGAGATCCACAGAGTGAAAGGAGAGAACCCATTATCTCAAGTTGCCATCTGACCTCCACAAAATGACTCCTCCCTCTCCCTCTCTCTCTCTCTCTCTCTCTCTCTCTCTCTCTCTCTCTCTCTCTCTCTCTCTCTCTCT